TTTTTTTTTTTTTTTTTTTTTTTTTTTGGGGGGGGGGGCATCTAAACTTGTTGTTTGAATAAGAAATAAAACTTGTTTGATTTACACAGTTATTACAGTTCAGTGTCACAGCTTATTTATCTTGTTATTTCTTTGAAATCTAGCCTGGATATATTTCTTGTTTTGGTTTGGGGATTTTTGTTTGTTTTCTTCTTCTCTTTTTGTTTTGGATTTTCAGAAGATGTAATCAAATGCTTGTTGTGTGGCCAGCTCAGTACACTGGCTTCTGATACAAACACTGCACATTCAACAAAGTCTTTTTAAGAACAGCAAATTCTAGTGTCAGTGAGAATAAATCAGAGTTGATAATATCTGGGAAAAAGAAAACATTGTCCAGAGAAAATAATGACTCCTCCGAAGAGATAGCATTGTCAGACACTAGCATATCTTGCCAGCACTGGACAGTGATATTAAAATATGCTGCAAATCCACCTTATCGCCTGAAGTGAGACTCTGACATTTATTCTGCAACTGTCCGGACAAGAGAGGCAACTAACAACAGCTGAGCTACAATGACACTCGTCAAAAAAAGTCAAAAGGAGACGTGAGGAAGAAAACAGTCACTGCAGACATCGTCCTCACTTTGCACCGAGCAGCTGACTTTACAGCTAGTTTCATTTCTGCCCGGGGACAAGGACCATCAGGCCAAGTTACATCCACACTGTCCAGCAAACCATCACCCCTCACCAAGTGCTAGAAGGACATGACCACTTGCTGTTAAACTAACAGCATCAAGCTGACCACTCTCTCCTCCTATTCAATGGAGCCAAGGTTAGTTTTAAAAAAAACATCCAATTAAAATGCTTATAACATTTCAGTCTGTAACAAATTAAGCTGACTCATTGCCCCAGTCACGAATTATAGAGTCTTTTATCCAAGCCATGTGCAAGAGAGAGAGGAATTAAATCCCTCATTAAACAACGTTCCTGTTCTGTGAACTTTACTCCAAATTCACCCCTTCTCCCCAAAAAATTCTGTTGCTGAAACTTACCGCTTTTGCCAACTCCCCCTGCTCCTAGCATCACCACCTTGTACTCTCTGGAGCCTGCTGAAGAATTGCTGGAGGAGCTGATCATTTCATTTTCTAGCTCCATCTTGCACGAGGCAGAAGAATGGAGCAAAAGGGAAGAAAAAGCAACTGGCAGGTGCTTTCTCTGATCTTAAACAACTATAAAAGCTTTGCTAAGGAAAAAAAAAAAAAGGCAGAAAAGAAAGGTATAATGCAAGAGGTACGATTTATCAGCCTCACACTCGCTGCTGTGCCTCTGTTAGCTGGAGAAGGTCTCATAGCAACCACTTTAACAGCTTCCAATAAAAATCTTTCTCTGCCCCCTCCCAGCTCTGTATCATTCTCTGTGTTTCTCTTCCTGGACAGAAGCAGTTTTGTGAGGCTCAAGAGCCCTGGTACCTCTGGGTGTTGCTGTGTCATTGGAATCAAATTGAGCAGTGTCCAGAAAAATAAAATGGATCAAATGTCTTGATTATGATGTTTGTTATTCCATGTAGCACTTGCTTGAATTTTAAACAATAATAAAACAGACCAGACAACCTCCTTGTCACCTTGGAGTTAAATATTCATCCTATGTTCATCAAGTTTGCTAGATTTATATTTAATAGCATTAGAAGTGAAATAAGCAACAACTTTTACAAGCCTTTGTTCTTCATGAAGCTTACTGAAAATCAAAGAAGTTTTCTAAGGTTAGGTTTGCCCCCAGACAAATTCTCTTTTGGTTTTACATCAATTATTTGCAGAAATAAACCTGGTATTTTGGAAAAAGGTTTGTTTGCTGGTTTTCCTTTTTCTCACACAGAATTTCAGAACTGGTACTGAAGGCAGGGGGAAAAAAATCTATTAATCCAGATAATATCCATGTATACAAAGGAGAAAAACAAATTATTATAAGTATTTCATACTAATATCAAATTATTTATTTAACCAGCCTAGTCAGCCCAAATAAATAAGAAGAGAATAAAGCAAGAAGTTTGTGAATGACATCAAGTGTGAAAATCTCCCATTAGAATTATTCTGTGAAAATACTACAGAAGGCTTCAGGTCTTCATTGATTTCTGATGATAACCTTACCGGATCTATTAAATTTAAAGAATGTGATAAGTAATAAGTTACTTGCTCCTCTTTAACTGTTATGCAATATTTCTGATGACCAAAAAGCATCTATTATAAAAAGGGTCTAAAGCAAAAACTTGCTTTCCTTTGAAAAACGCTTTTGTGACAAGTGGAAAAATTAAGGAGACAGGGAAATGGAAGGAGGAAAGGGAATGAGTAAAGTGTCTTGCAAGTCAGACATCTTCATCTGTCCAGTCCTACAATTATTTCACAGAGAGTAAACATATGATATTACACAGGAATACAGAATTAAAAGTCGAAAGGGAAAGAAAAAACCAACACAACAACAAAAAAAATCCTAGCCTGATGAAGAACATGATTTAAAGAAAATTAGGAAGGGGAGGAAAATATAGAAGGGCACATGTATGAAAAATAGTTTAATGGACTACAAAAATACATGATTAAAGAGAAGAGATACATAAGTATGACAATAGCATTATAATAAGAATAGAGAAAGTGAACAGAACATGAATACTCATTTTCCCCAATACAAAAATTAGGAAACATCAGATGAAACAGGCAGTAGCCAGCTTCAAATCCAAAGTACTTATAGGAGTCATGGCTGATTTAAGGAACTGCTTGCCACTTGATATTTTTGGGAGTAGAAAAGAGCTTGTAGTGAAAAAGAGTTTAAACACAGAGTAATTGAAAATCCATTGTGGCCTATTAAAGTCACCGCTTCTTGTTTAAGCAGTACTCAAGACTCACACCAAGAGATCCTGGGAAAACACTGAGGGATCAAAGTATGACAGTCTTTTTTCAGTGACAGAGAAAAAGAGAACAGAGGGAGAACCACTGAGAACTCCTCCAGAATCAGGACCTGCTACTGTGGTCCTACAGAATTTTTGTAATAGCCATGCTGCCAACAGCTTTGGATTATCAAGGCTGTGTGGCTGTATTGATGTCTGGATGGAAACCTCGGAATTCAGAAGGATTTGGTCGACAGAGCATAAAATAGGACTTAAAGAGGAAATTCTGAATGTAATAATCTGACGTCTAAACACTGAACTTCAGCAGAAAAGACAGGTGGGTCAGTTAATCCTTGTTGTGATTAGATTTAGATTTTCATTCAAATCATTCTTAAGTGCTCGGTATTGACACATTGGATAAAACTGATAATGATACCAAAACCACTGCTTAGAACAGCTGGGTTTTCCTGGTAATCTCCCATCAACACAGCAACCTCCTCCTCTGGAGCTTTTAACCCCATAGATGGCAGCAACATGTGTTTGACATTAATACATCAGGAAAGTGTGTGTCTGTGGGGATGATGCAGAAGAAAATCTAAGCAAAATATTTTTAAAAAATATTAGTGAAAATTATGTATACATAATAGATAAGCATTAGTCAGATTTTTTTTTTTTTTTTCCAGTTGGTGGTGGTTGCCAGATAAAAGTGGCAAGTAATTTTTTTGTTTTGTTTAGAGCTGGAAAATGGGGAAGGAATATGAGAAATGGAAGAGGCTTAAAAAAGGAATTATATTAGAATGCGAAGCAGAATAAGACAGAACTAAATGGAAAGCCACTTCCCCATCTTTTAAGAAAATCGAGAAAAACCAAGACAGTGCTTTTAATGCCTGAAAGAGGGGAATTTTTCTGTTTGATTGAGGATTAACCACTTAAAATTCCTGCTTTAAAGTCAGATTCATGTTTATGAAACTTCAACATTTTAATAAGTATTATTACATTATATAAGCACTTGGACAAACATATCCACCTGATTTTCACAGAAACTTGTCCAGAACCTAAAAAAGGTAATTCTGCATGACTGTTTATAATGCAGGACTTGTTCTGATTGGTTTTCGTCATAACTTCCTATTGACAAACAGCTTACTCTGACCTAATTTAATCCAATTCAGTAGTGGAGGACAAGTATTTAGATTCATTCTCATTTATGATAACATCATTTAGTCTTCATTCTCCCACCTGAGTGGAAAAGTACAATGTTTTGCTTTCAGTGTGCTGCCAACAAAATTAATACTGAGATTGTTTGAAAGTACTCAGCTTGAAATACTTACCTAATAATATAGCAAAAAAACCCACCAGCATAAATGCTTTACAAGCAACAGGAAGAAACAGTAATAAAATAGATTTGAACCTCAGATACTAGAGTTTTTACAGTGAGTAACTTATTCTACAACAAATTCCAATCCTCTGTTTTATCTCTTTGTTTCTCTGCTGTAAGGACATATTTATCATGATGCAAATTCATAGGAAACTGTCCTCAGGCAAATCAGAGCAACTGCAAAGGCATGTAAAAAGCTTGGGGCGCTAGCCTATAGTGAATCATTTATTTAACAAAATCAGATTCTATTACTGTTTACATATTGTTTATGACTCTACAACAAATCTGCATAATTATTTCTTCTCTATTTAAAAAATTTTCTATTCAAACTGACTGCAAAATACAGCAATCAAATCAAACCATTCAGTATTCAAAATCTAGCAAGTGCTTTGTTTGAATTCATATTTTGTTGATTAATATTGAAATAGCTGTGTGCTCAGATCTTTAAGGATGCTTAGGTCTTAAGCAAAAGACAACATAGAGATAGGTATGTTAGAAGACAAGTAGATGAGCTTTTTCTAGAGAAAATGCCATTAGAAAACACATTCCGATCATTTTACATCCCCACTTGCTCTGGGGGTGTTGAATAAAATAATGAGATGTTAATACAACATGTAAATGTTCTGAAATTGTTTCCTAGAGCACTTTATGTTGACGAGATTTTATCAATTAACCTGGATAAATATTCTTGTCATTAGACAAGGAGCTTATGAGTTTAAAAACTTTAATAGCAAGCAAAATGCAAATCTTGACTGATTTTACTCCATTAAGTGATGGGTTAAAGCTATGTGAACCATTTAATAATAGGCAAATATGCATGAGCCTACTAGGGTCCCTGCCATTATGGAAACAGTGACCACTCTCTTGTCCCTCATGTTTACATATTGAGCACAGAGATGCAGGAGATGTAAAAAGCATCCTTCATAAAAAGGCACATAAACCCGCCTTGCTGAATTGCTGAAGTGCTGCTATGACAAGAAAGAGTGCTAATGCAGAAATCATTGCACAGCACTGGAGAGCTGGTTCAATCTGCTCCTGAGAAGAAATGCATTTGGCACACTAGCTTAACTTGATAAATTTTGAGTAAAGCTAGCATAATAAAATAAATGCTAGGGTATGTAAAAAAAAAAAAAAAAAAAAAAAAAAAAAAAAAAAAAAAAAAAAAAAGTAAACTTAAATTTTACATTAACAGACATATTCATTCCTATATATGCTGAGCACCTCTGATTCATATTGCTAAGGGACCTCCAGCACATGACAGAAGCATCTCCGCATTTTTGGAATCCAGATTCCTGCTATAAATACCCGGTGGTTCAATCACCCATCTGCCACAGGCACCCTGACTTCCTTAGGTAATCCCCATCCTTTTTGTTCTCCAAACTACTCATCTGTAGGACCATATGACTTTTGTTCTGAAGTTCTTATTTCTGTCCCTAGTGTCAGACAACACAGTGTCCCCTTCCTCTGCTGCAATGCATTTTAATCTAAGCCTTTTTAGTACGTCGAGAGGCAAAAGCAAATGAAAGGAAAAAAGGTGCGAGTCTGACTAGCAACGGAAAATGTGAAACAGCTTCAGAGTCCATAGAATAAAGAAGCATTGTGGGTTTGGTCTTGTCAGGGAAAGGTTTGTCATGAACAACATCTTCCTTTTGATTATCCTGGGTCAAAAAATGCAAATAATACTGTACCTGCCGTACAAAGGTTTGAGAGATGAGGGCAGTTTATCACATTATCACATTCTTGAGAACACTAAATATACCGTTAATTTTTAAATTCTTACAAATGACTGGTCTAACTTCGTACAGAACAGAAACATTGAAGGTCAAGTCTTAGACTCTGTCAAAGGGAAAAGCTATTTTCTCTGGGTTTCCAATAAAGTTTCACAAATGATTTATGATCTTACTGTCAAGAAGTACTAATGATTGCAGGTCATTTATGGATTTCTGTTGAATTTTAATTACATTCATAGATAAGACTTTTATACTTCCAAATGCAACAGTGATATTGTGTAAATCTTAGAGATCTCAATGCCTTATTTCTACATAAACATGTTCTCTGTGAGCATGAATATGTTTATTCTAAATTCATTCACCTTCCAGTGCTTTTGCAAGGAAGGAACATTA